CAGACTCCTTATTTTTTTGCAGAAGCAGTTATTGTCCTGTGGTAAAAGTCTTCAGCCCTCAGAAGGGGAAGGAACTGTAAAACGAAGCTACTCGGAGCGACGGATGGCGCGAACAAGGCCGGGGAGGCTGAAGACCCACCGCCCCGCGGGGGAGCCGGCTGTACGTTACTTCGGAGCAGGATGGGGTCGCAGGTCCCCCTCGGGGGAGCAGCCCGTCCCGCTGCAGCTACCACAGGCTTCCTCCTCCCGTGCCGCTTTTCTTGGGAAGGAGCAAGGCCACGGAGATCTGCCTTCACACGAGGCTGCGGCTTGATTCAAGCTGCGCCGCGCTCCTGCCCCTCCTCCCGCCACCACTGTCCCCGAAGCAGGTGTGCCTCAGCCTCGGAGATCTTGGTTCAAAGCCCAGCACGTTAAAAAGCAGATGGTAAACTGAGGCAAGGGCACACATTCCCTCCTGCCAACTGTGCTGCAGGAGCGGGGCACAGCCACTTGTCTTGGCACAAGCTGTCAAGGGACGCTACAGATAAACCAGAGGAGGCCAGGCGAGCTTATCTGTCATCATGACTTTACCGGCCAGATTTTTCCACTAGTCTTCTAACCTTAGCAAATACGACACCTCTCCTCCTCCGCAGGCCTAACCGGATTTATTAGGCTCAGCATTAAGCTCAAACAACATTCAGTAAAGCTGGTGGCACTACCCGGTGTGGATCTTGTTCTTATGAATCAGTATCAGGGAACCTTGTGGTAAAACACGCTGCTGCCCAGAGCTGTACACCTAGCTGAGTCCCTCAGTCTCGCACCCTTCAGAGGAGCATTACAGGCACCAAACAACCACTCCACGAATAACATCAGGGAACTGCATTTGCAGATAACTTATTTATTCAGCTAAAGTAATTGGTCTGATCTCAAAATACCTGTCCTGTCTTGTGGCTTGCAGGCTGCCTATCAGACCTCCTCCTCGCATCTTGTTTTTCTGCCTAACACCCAAAACAATTGGAATGGATGGAAATCAACACCCGTTTCACCACACTCTAAATCCTAGAATCCTACAGCAATTAGCTGCAATTCCTAAGTGTACTGCCTTGATAAATGTATTACATAATCTAAGGCCCTTATTACACAGGCACATGGAGAATAGTCATTCTCAATAAAGCAAGCAAGATTTCCAAGACTGGAAACAGCCTGGTCACATGAAAATATGTTTATTTCCTTTAAAATTTCAACGTGCTTTACTACTGCTGGCTGAGGTGAGCAGTTCAGAAACTTGTGGGCAAAACTGAAATTCACAGTGCAGCATCCGAAAAGCTTCCTGAATCAAACAGAATAAGCCATGAAAGCACAATTCATGACTATGTGAAGAAGCTAGACCACAGAATAGGCCTTCATGACAAAACTGCTCCTGCCGAGAAAAAGAGGGAAAAGGTTGCATTTACACAGCCTATCAAGGCAGGTGCTATTCTCCACACTGAAGCAAGACATCACAAATACCTCACAGGGTTAAGGAGCCCAAGCCAAAGGAGGTAAACAGCGTGGCTGTGAGGGCAAACATGACACACATCCTTCAGGAGGAGCTCTCAAGCACATGAGTGGCAGCTGCAAGTGAACTGAGAGGTGATGATGGCCCCCAAAGACCAAGCACCATCAGTGGTGGCTGCCCTTCTCCCTTACTTGCTACAGCCTCATCTAGACATTTAGATCTGCTGTCACCCGCCCAACAGAGCGCCCCAGCTGCACCTCTTGGTGAGACAGCAAGGAATGTAGCATGAGATCTGGCTACCAAAATCATGACGCCTCTGAACACAGACCATAGTTTATATTCTCTTTTCCTTGTCTTTGCTGCACAAAGAACGATAGACAAACCTTTAGAGACACTAGGGATTAACATGTCACTTAGCAGCACTGCCTAACCATTTGTACCCCTCACATGTCAGGTGACGGGATCCAGGAGATGTATTTAGGAAGGTCTCAGTGTCGCATCTTACTTCACTACTCGCTACCATGAATAATGCATGAGCCTGCTGTTGATCACTTATTTGTAAAAATCATGATCTGCTAACGGATGATTGCTGTTTAGATAAGTTGCTGTTCTCAGAAGACCGAACGTTGCATTTGAAGAAAGGCAAACATGGCAACGTTCACTTAATACACTCGCACTGCCTCCAGAGGCAAAAGGCTGAAAGTCCACTTTCCTCACTCCCCTCCCAAGCTTTTTGGCAAAGGTATGTTTTTGCCAGGAATTCACGTGAAGATTTTTCTCATTTTCCTCCATCTTCTCCCTGGCTAGTTCCACTAAAATAGTCATTCACAAGATGTTCATCTGACCTTCCATCAACCTAGCCACATTTACAGCCTCTCCAAGCCGCTCCAAGTTTAAACAATTACCTTTGAAATATTCCAAAAAAATCTGGCCTCAAGTTACTTTTTTTTTTTCTTATGCTGCTTACAGCAGAAGAAAGATAAAACAATTACAAGGGTAGCTTCAGCAACAAATGCTAAATTTGGTTTCTGTGCTATCTTTCACAACTCTACCAACTCCACAATTTGCTTCAAGCCTTTGACAGATGTCACATATATGTACTGTAGGTGGGACCTTTTGAGTTCTCATCTGCCTCATTTGGAAACCTCCCAAAATTGCCACTATCCATCTGTGTTTCACACACATTTCATTTTGGATTCCTGACAAAACTCCTCCACATTCTATTAACACGACCAAGTGCTCACCATATTGCTTGACTAGAGCTCTCCCTCCAGCTGGAATATGCCAAAATAGACCCACCATCTCTTCCCACAGATGTCCTTTATTGTGAGGCTCCTGGGAGAAGAGACAGTAGAAGACCACACATTTTAAATTTATTTTCTCAACTGATTTGTGATAGTAATTCTGGATTCATCAAGTCCTCACTAAGAACAAAATTTCTCAACTTGGACATGCATGAAATGGAATCTGATCTCTAATGGCACAGACAGGCACCATCATTTCATCCTACTGTTCCTTAGAAAGGGCCTCCCAAACATCTGTCCTTCATCACGCTGTCTATGAAATAACATAACTTGTACACAGGTCACTAGGATTTAAGCACGTTGTTTGCTCTCCAGCAGCTTAGCCCAAGTCATAGAGCTTTCCATTAAACTTTTTTTGTTGTTGTTTTAAACTAAGGATCTTAACAAAGAGATCTTGATATATTTTCTTAGAAGTCTTTGTAAACTGGTAGCCACTCTCAAACGTTGTGGCAGGCTGAGAATAACAGTTGTCAAGATGACCTTAATTTGATTCATCCGCTAACACCTACCATGATCCAGTTTAATCACTCACAGTAGAACAGTAGCTGTAGGCAGACACCTTCTTTCATCTCCAGCTGAGCTGAGGAAAGATCTTACCTCCTAAGGCTACTACCCCTCAATTCTGCTACTGGAGCCACTTATGCGAGGATACCAAAATGCTTTGGTTAGCAGAGATCTACTGCGTTGGCAATCTGCAGGTTATCCCACGAGTCCTTCACTTCTCTCTAGTGCGTAGGTGGGGCAGTGCTGATTACTCAGACTGCGTACCTAGTGAAGCTGTGGGTGAACACTCGTTTTTTGTTTTTCCTACAAGCTGGACAATAAACAGCATGTGAGACATGAAAAGCTGGAAAAACAACAACAAAAAAAACCCCTTATGGTTATAATGAGGAGCCACTAGCAAAAACTACTGCTTTTTCTAACAATGCCTCAGTTCTAGGGGGCTCCGCTCAATATCTGCCTGCAACAGTTGCATTAAGATATTCAAATATTCGAGATATTCAGAGCAGAGAGTGCAAGCCAACGCTGCAACACTCACAGAGCCATGTACTAGATGCCAGACATCATGGAAGCAGGCAAAACACACAGGAGGACAATAGTGTTAGACGCAAGCCCAAATCAGTGTGAGATGGCACCCAAAATAGCGTTAGATGCAAACTCAAACCACCAACATACCTGGGCTGCCAGTGGTGCACTTTAAAGCCACTAGAGAACAGTTATATTAGATACAACAACATGGCAGCAGTGGCTGGCCACACATGGAGTGATAAGACTCTTCGGGTTGATTTTAGCTAGTAATCTATATATAAACCTCTTTTCAGGCCTGAAGACACCATCCTACTAGTGTCCAAATGCACATTTCAAACACAATTTTGGAGCCTCTGCAATTGAATATGACATTCTTGTGCTTGTTCCAGACTGCTCACCTTCCAGCAGGTTTGAAGAAGGAAGTCAATCATTTTTCTGCCTTAAAACAAAAACAAACAAAAAGCCTTCTTAGTACCAATTCTGTAAACACTGCTAATTCCTCCCCTTCTAGTCATTGCATGCACCTGTTGAAAACAGACTCTAATAACAACACATACAAAGCTTTGTATTTCTCAAGTCAATCGAACACCACCAAGAGGTTTCATTAACAGGGGTACAAACACAGCCTCTCACTTGTTGAGAGGAGGGAAAAAAAACAAAAAGGAAAAAAGAAAAAAGGAAATATAGCTTGGTTTCCATTAGAGGAAAGATTACAGGGGGCTCTCCCACTTCCTGCTGCAGGAAGCAACTTACAAACTAGTTCAGCTGTCTTCTGCAGCAAGGGAGAGTGGCATTTCAGTCTGAAGCAAATCCTTTTCCAACCTAGCCTTATGCACACCATGCATACAGCTCAGGAAGTCTGTCCTGAGGCCAGCTTTACTGACAGGGGTGGCTGATGTGGAGTTATACAAATAAGGCCCCAAAGGGAAGTTCAGGAGAGGAAGGAAAGAGAAAATTTCATAGAAGCAGCACGTCAGATTCTGAGAGAAGAAACAGAGCTCCACCACGGGGATCAAGCAATCAAACTTTTGCTAGTGCATGCTCCACCTCAGTTTCCAGAGGATGTTCCCTGGACACTGACTGAACCAATTTCAGGCAGATAGTATTGACCCACATTGATTCTCCATACAGAGCAACTGAGCAATTCTCTGTAGCAAGTCCTTTCTTTCCCCCAAGCCACCCTTTGATGCTTGACAGACACACCTTTCCCCATGCTAGATCTACAAATCTGAGCCTGCATCTCATAAATTTATTGACTGATCATAAATCTCTCAGGCTAACCATGCACTCATACAGAGGCCAATGATAAAGGTGGAGGACGTCACAGAGGAGACCTGTAGTCTCAGAAGTGAAACTAGAGCTGGCAGTCCAATGCTTTTTCCCTTATAGGCTGGGAACAGCTAAGGTTCACTTTTACGGAGCAAAGCAAGCTGTGGACTGTGCGTAAGCCTGGAAAACTTCAAAAGAAACTCAATGAAATAAAGAAGGTACATCTCGATCTGTAGACTCTTCCTTTTCTTTCTGAACACACATTTGCTTTTTAAGCAAATAATTGGTTTGAGATTAGCAACTTACAGCATTAACAGCTGATCATCTGAATCATGTTTTATGAACCAGCAGTAGTAGACTAACGAGAAGCTGTTTTACTTCATAACAGAATTCACATTGTGAGGTATGACTTTTTCCATTATGAAATGATAAAAATACATTCCCAGAGTCTGAATCAAGTTCAATAATTTAAACAGATAACGAAAACAGAATCAGGTGTTGTCTAGGAAGACCTGTCCCAGTACTGCGAGTTTGGAGTTAAAAGACTGACTGGGGCAACTCAGGACGGAGTGTGCGTTCTTCTTAGAGTTTCTTCTCTCTCCACCACTCTCTGAAGAGGCATCTACAGAGTTCTCCACGCTTTCCCCTTCACCATGGTCTGAGGCTCTTTTTAAAGTGAATTTCTTGTTTCTCTTCAACGAGTAAAATTCTCGCATCAAGTCTTCTACCTCCCACTGCTCTTCTTTCCACTTCCTACAGCAATGCAGCGCAGCAGGGTCTATAGGATGAGCTTCTGTGTTAAAGATGTATCCTCCAGCATTCAAGATGCACTCCCCATATGGTGTGAACACCACATCAAAGACTGACCCATCATTGTGAATGAAGTTGTCTGGGTCAAACAGCAGATACAAGTATTTCACTGTTTCAGCCAAAAAGAAGGATTCCATGCGATTATCCAGTCTGTGATCTCTCAAGTCCTTTATCTGCAAGAGAAGCAATCCAGTGGGTTACACTTATACTGTAATTAAGGCATGAGAATTCATGAACTTTGGAGGAAAGTAAAACCAGCTTGCAATTCATGTAATTCAAATAGCAGAGTAAGTATGATAGCAATCCACCCCATATTTCAAATGATTGCATGCAAGTATTTCAACTAGTTCTCAGTTGCTTTGAATTAGCACAGACTAATGATAAGGAACAGGAAACTAAATCAGAAGAAAAGCACTTCCTGTGTGGGTAAGGAGTAGAAGAATAAGCAATCTTCTCACCATTTCCCTGCCTAAAAAAAAATCCCATGGCTCCTTCTTACTCCAGAAGCTGGAGAAGCTTCTAATGCTGTCCCATGTTTTGGGCTCTGGTGCAACTACTACTGACAGAATTTGACCCAGTTTTCAGGCTAAGAGGGAAGTTCCTCAGAAACATGACTAGCATTATCAGATCAGCTTTACAGAGAAATACAAGGTGTTCATTTGAAAAAGAAGTCATGTTTCAGCCCGATATATGTTCGCTCAATGGCAAAAAGTCATTCGTGACAAGGCTTTCTAGCTAAAAACTGATTTCTAGCAGCTATACTTACTGTTGCAAAGCCACAGTCCACCTTGCTGATTTTCTCGATAGACTCCACCGCATCTCTTCCCAGTTCCAAGAGGGTGGGGTCTCGTGTAGCACGGTACAGATACATTGCACTCTCAATCAGCTCTGCCAAAACGCAGTTGCAAGCATAAAAATCAAGACAAGATGTTCCTTGTACCGAGTTAACAATATTACTTTAAGATGGTCAGTAAGTGGCCTGTTTTGTACTTCCTCTGGCCATAGCAGAGAGAGCTTCTTTTACTGAGGATATGCTACAAAAGAAACTCGCAGTAATCAGATTCCATTAACTCAGGTAAGACTGAAAAATAGTCCCTTCCCACATTCAGGAAGGAGAAGGGGGGAGAGAGGAAAGGATTTAAAACTGTTTAAGGAAAAAAAAAAATCTAGATAGAATTATATATAAAAGATTCAAACCCCTGAATATGATTTTAAACCACTGAAATAGGGGTATCTAAAACACTGCAAAATAGGCATTATGAAAGTACTCTACATAGACAACATAGGCATTATACTTTCCTTATTTACTAAAGTAGTAAGGTTTTTTTTTTTTTGATGATATAATACCTTTTAAAGATAACGTTGGTGAGAATTTGATAGATGTGTCCAATGTGAATGTCACCTGAATGTTCAAACTAAAAGGAACTCAGTTTATGCTCATTTACAAATATAGTCACATGTGGAAGAAGAAGAGTTGTAAACAACAGGAAAAAGATAAGTCATTCCATTGCAGATCACAGACAACATACAAACCTCTCATCTGCTGAACTTCACTAGTGTTACTAGAATTAGCTTATTTGAGGAATTTCACTCAACAGAGCTGGAGCAGTCTACTCATACTCACTTTCACTTCCTAAATTTAACAGTCACATTAACATTCTGCACTGACTTAAGATTCTCTAGCAAGGGATATTCTGAATTCAAACACTTAAACGTATCAAATCCTACACTGTGAACCCAATTCATCAAAAGGCCCCCTTTATAATAGTAACACTATGGTTTGCATCCTTTTTAAGGTAGCCCTGCCTTTTATGAATGGCAGATATCAAAACGTGTGGCTTTGAGCATGGCAATCACGTAAGATGCATGCAAGAACCAACTCAAAGCAAAACTTGGGACCTTTAGGGGGCAGATATTGCCAACATTTGATCTCACTACCAGAACAAAAGCAGAATTCCACATGCTTCTTATTTTATTTCTGCTTACCAGGCCTGAGCGGATATCCTTCTCTTTTCTCCACTGTATAGCCCTGGGGAATGTTGTAGAACTCAGGCAGTCCACCAAACTGCTTCCAAACAGTGTAATAGTTGAGGAAAGTTCGCATGGCATTATCTACATCTCCAATCAGGCTCTGAGAGAGAAGAAACAGTTAGCAAAGCAACATTCAGCTGGAAAAAAGATGGCAAAGGAATTGACTTGATAATACTTCTACAGTCAAAGCAAGAGAAGGTGACAAAAATGGGTTGTTCAGCAAGTCTGAATCGCATAACAAATACTTAGGCGGGATGCCTTAAGAATAGGCAGGACTGAAGAAAAGCTGGATGCTGCTTTTCTGTTGGATCACATTCTGCATGCCCGAAATAACATGAAGTCTCCTTGCTACTTAGTTTGTTACAACAAAACTGCCCTCCCATCATGCTTAGCGAGAGGCTTTTCTCTAGAACACAGATGAAGTCAACAACTGCTCTTCTACAGGCTCAGGCTATTGTAGATTTTACAAGAGATCAGAACCGGGCTTAACCAGAAGAGATGAGGGTTATATCTGTAACTGTTCCGTATTAAAGATGGACCCACGACAGATGAACAGAATTCCTGTATGCTACTGGTATGACAGTTCTTACCTGTAGGCCTGGCCAGTAGGCCTCCAGAGACTGAAAAACGGGCATGGACACTGTTCCTTTGTACATCTGTACCCAGAGGTACCAGTCATCAAACTTTGTATAATTTTTAATAGCTTTGTTATATTCTGTGAAGAAACACAGAAGGGTCGGTAATCCAACAGCTTATCCTCCTACAGTCTCACATGCAAACTTTTTACAGGTGCAGTCAAGGAGGTATTCTTGGGACCCATCACACAGAAAACGAACTACTCACCTAGGAACATGGACATCAGCTCTTTGTCCTGCAGGAGAATGGCTCCTTTAACAAGGTATTCAAAGTAGGAGTCCACTCCAGCCCCAATGCCAGCATCCTGAGCTACCCATTTGGCAGTTATCACATCGATGTGGTTACCGACCTGGGAAAAGTCAGGGAAGGAGGAAAGAGGGATTTAGAGTAGAATCAAAGATCATCTACCAAATATGTAAAAAAGAAAAAACCCTCAGCCTAGTTTCAGAACAATATATTCACGTGTTCATACCAAACATCATTTTCTCCACTATACAAAGACATGCTGATCAACCTTAGAGAAGTACAAACCACAGAAAAATACCATCTAGAGATTTTATGCTTCCAATATAAATGCTACACCGGTGCAGCATTTTGTTTAGGACTTTTAAATATTACAATTCCACAAGCAGAACTTTGCTGGGTTTCTTCTCACATAAGAAAGGGCAACGGAGTACAGCCATCAAATTTTAAATGAAAACTAATTTAAATTTTTAAATTTTTCAGACACAAGGAAAAAATTGTGTGGTACCTCGCTTCTATGCTGTGGCATAACGGAGCTGAGAAACAGTTTTGCCGGGATTTAAATTTTCACTATAGTTTTTTCAAATATGCTACGTGACTGCTTTCTAAAAATTACCCATCTATGAACTGGGCATTTAAACACCAGATGCTTCTAGTGTTCTGCAGAAAACAGAAGTGTCAACGGAAAACACTTAAAGCAGTGGTGTATTTTAGTCCATGCGAGTATCCTCCAAACTTAAGTCAAAAATCCAAATGAATTGATACGTGAAAACAAAAAACGAAAAGAAAAGAAAACCTTCCTTGGATTAGGTCAAACTTCAGCATTAAAAATAGCATTTCAAGAAGGAAAAGATGAAAACTATGACCAGGCAGCGAGCCAGAAAGACCGCAGAGTAACAGACAGTACCTCCAGAGGATCATGACTTGAAGAGGTGTAAGGGTCAAGATAAAAAGTCATTATGCTGCTGTAAAAATCTACCTCTTGAACGTGCTGCATCTTGTCCTAATCCCTATCTTACAAAAAGGTAGGGCAAGACGAAGAGGTGCAAACACAAAGAAGGACGCCAAGGATGGTCAGAGACATAAGAGAGCTGCCGTTCTAATATTGAAATAGATCTTTCAAATCTGGGACTCTTAACACTGGAGAGAGACCCAGCTGATGGAGGATACAATACACAATCATTACTGGCTTGGCAAAGATGAAAAAGAGTTGCTCAGTTTTTTCCAATACAAGAATCAGAGGCATTAAGTAAAAATAGCAAATCCAAAAGCAAACAAGAAGAAACGCTTCTTCACATAGCATATGAATAAATCTTTGCCTTTTCACATGCACAACACTTGTAGTTTACATAGGATCAAAAAGCAACTAGAAAAATTAACTGAAGAAAGATTGATCAGCAGACAGTGAAAACAGAGACACCATTTCTAGCTCTAGATATCCCCAAAACATCAAAGCTGCAGGGGTTGGGAACATTTGTGTGTTCTTGCTGTGTTTTGTTCTCTTCTGTAGGCCATTGTCAGGCCAGACATTAGGCGAACCTTTTATTTAATTTGGTGCAGCTGCCTTTGGAAAAACTGCAATATCTGG